TTAGAAGTTTTTAAGGTCAGGCTTGACAAAGCCCTGGCTGGGATGATTTAATTGGGGATTGGTCCTGCTTTGAGCAGGGGGTTGGACTAGATGACCTTCTGAGGTCCCTTCCAACCCTGATATTCTATGATGGGTTACATATTCTTCCTGGTTGGGGAAGAACATCCTGAGCTTTAGAGACACCCCAGTTGAAATCCTGAACAACCCTCCTCCCCCTTTGTAATACTGACAGACTCTTGGTGTCAGCAACTGGGATCAAACCTGGGACCTCTGAATCATAAAGCAGGAGTTATGATATTTAAATCTGCCAGAGCCAAGACACACTTCTCACTCAGCCAAGCCTGTTGAAGATCAATCTCTAGCTGATCTAAACACCACTAGAACAGGACAGAGTGCCAAACCAAGCAGGCATAAGTTACATAAGCAGTTAAGAGCAAGTGTGAGATGTATTGTGCATCACCAGAATTGCTTACTAAGCTTCAATAACTTACACCTGTAGAAACCCACTGAAAATAAATCACACAGGTTTTATTGAATTCCTAATTGGGACTGCAGAACCTTATCTCCTGCCATTCATGAGAAGACAGCTCGTCTTTAAAGTCCATGTTGAGTTTGCAAGAGTAGTAGTTAGAAAACCTATTTTTACTTGTAAGAAAAGCACATTACAGATGGAAATCAACGAGTGACAAACATGCAACCCTACAGTGCCATTTTTACAGAATCAAATTTCACAGCAGAGCTGCACAACACCTTAAATAATCATATGCTAACAAGTGCGTGGCTTCATCTCTCCAAGTGCACACCCATCTTCCAGAAATGAAGCAGTACTGGGATACTGAGAAGCCTCCCTTGCTGCAGACCACAGAAAGAAGATGAGAGTTACTGGGTTAGTCATTTTTTCCCTTTGCTGGAGGTAGATGAATGAGAGAGTAGTTCTGGCTTGGAATAAAAAGGATCTGGCTGGCTTAAAATCATAGTGTGGGATGCCAACACAGCACACTGACTTTCACTTTTTCTGCACCTGCCTCAGCACAGACAGGTTGCAGCCCCATGTAGACAGCCTTACCTTTTGATTCCCTGGCTTTTAAAAATGAGAGTGTTTGAGTGAGTTTTGATAGCCATGATTGTTCTATAACATTTTATTCCTCAATACTCTGTATATACATTCTTCAGCTAGTTCATTTTTAAATCACTTTAGCAGTTAAACTGTCACACTTATGCACAATCTGACACCTCAAAGTCACAGTTTGAATATTTCAGTTCTATTACTTTTAATTCTGTGCCAGTTAATCATATTTTATTTAAGGCAAAATGTTAATCTTCTGATCTTAAAAATCATAGTACTTTACCTTTTTATGGCTGCATATTAAAATAAGGATACTTGCCAATTACCTAGAGCCCTCTTTCCAGGATTAAAATGATAAATTGACAACAGGTCAGCTCAGAATCTCTGCAGTACAACAGTCTCTTTTGCATGCTGCAAATGCCCTCTTCACACTTCCCAGTACTCTAGCTGAAATTAACAGCTAGACTTGTCAATTTACAGCCCACTTGGTAGGATGATCTCACTTTAATTCTAGAACCAAAGCTTAAACAGAGTATCCTGGCTCCAAAGAGCCAGCTCTAATAAACCTGCTGCAACCGTTAGCTCAAAAGAGAAGTTACTTTATTTGCAGCTCAGAATTGGGGGTTCTTTGGAAGTCTATTTTGAGGACAAAGTGTGAAAAGAACAGAAGTGGATTAGTATTTTTGGTTTTCTTTTTTTCCTGACTGTACTTTTATGCTGCCAAAAAACAGTTGCCACAGTACTTAGCATGTTTGTAGTGCTCAGATCTCTTTATAGAATCAGGTCCTATATTGCGAGCACTTTCAGAGAGGGATCTTATCTCCCTACTTGTCTGCAAAGCAACCAGCAAGGTGTTCACTGTACATAAACAACAACAGAAGTTCTCACAAGTCCAGAACCCATCAGTGTATGTCACCCACTATAACCATCATAGTTTGCCCACATGGCTCCTTATACATAAAATACCTCTTCCTTTCCAGTTCACCAACCCACCACCCCATCTGTATTCAGTTCCCTCCTTGATAATCACTTCTTCTACAATTTCCACGAGAAGGGAGACAGTTTTGTATAAAAAACAAGGACAATGACAAAGCTGTTTGATGTATTCTCTTCTTTGATCTTCCCTGTATCCTAGCTTTTTTGTTTGAGTTTTTGGGGATTGTGGAATTTCTTTATCTTTGTCTTGTACAGGGCCTAGCACATGATTTGTTAAGTGCCAGCACTGAATAAGAATAATATACAAATATTAATCCTCACTATGCCATGGAAGGTAAGTAAGTCCTATCCCCATCTGTGGAAGAAGGAAGTGAATTAAATTGCCCAATGTCACACCAATAACTCAGTGGCAGAGCTTGAAATGGAACTCAGGAGTTGCTAGTTCCCACTCCTGTGCCCATTCCATGAGGCCATACTGCCTCCTAGCAATGTCCTGCATAGCTGGATACTTATTTGTTCCTATCAACATAACCAAACACTATGGTTGTACCAAAGAGCACCTGCCATCATCTTTCAGAAGCATGGTTTCTAGACCCACGGTCAATGCAGAGGTAGAGGAAGGGAGCTCACAGGGAACAAATATGGAGTGTTTTGTTTTGTTTTTAAAAGAGTAAAATAAAAAGAGTGATCTTTTACCCTGAAACTTCCCTCTCATCATTTAGTTATGATTATTGACACTAGCCTCCCTGCACTGTCATCTTCCCCTGCTTTTACAGTCTTAACTTTGGGCCTGACCCAATGCTCTTTGGGGCAGGAACTTTTCTTGAGTAAACATGTGACACCAATAACGTAGTACGTAATAAAGAGTAACCACCACCTTTTAATTAGCCACAGCCCTTAAACTGGTGATTTCACCAACGCATACAGGATTATGACAACTTTGTGTTTTAAAAAACCTAATAAATTGATGAGAGGATTCTGTGGGCTTTTTGGTTGCCTGGTCTTCTATCCAGAAACTGACATCTTCTCCAATCCTGCAGCCTCTGTTCAATGGTGGTCAATTATTCAGAAGGTAAAGCCAAGGCCTGGTGAAGTTTGTTTAAATTGATATCTTGCTTTATACATCAAAAGTGAGTTGATATATAAAGTAGTCCCCTTCGTGGGTACTATCTCCTCCACGAGGAAAATGAAATTCCTCACCCTCCCTAAATAAGGTATTTGTAAAAACATTTTAGAGTGACTGCTAAGGTTGAGAATGAAGTTTTACTTCATAAAGCTATTTAGAGTGAGACAAACTATATCTAAAAAGTGCAGATATGCTTTTTTTAATTTCCTTTGCACTTCAGGGAAGGGGGAGGGAAAAGCATCTCTGATTTGTATATTAAAGCACAAGCATCTGTCCTACTGATGATATTCTAGGGAAGCACATTAGCATAAAATTTAACGATGTCAAATAAGTGGATGTGAAATAGGGACTGCGTAAAGACACTATTTCCAAGCCTGACAGAAACATCACTGTTTAGAAATGCAAATGAAACCATTATGTTCAATAATTATATGAAAATATGAACAGTTCAGCATGTTTTCCAGCCCTGATGGCAGTTAATGGGATGTACGCTTATGTAAATAACTACTATTAAAGCTAATGCTGAAAAAAAACTAATAAATTCATACTAAAGCAACTGATTTAGTACGCTTTTAAACCCCAGCAGTGCTCACTTATTAGAAAGGAGTGCATTCTTATGTTTAGAACTCATTACTGTTACAAGTCACTGCAACTCCATCAATTCCCATGCATTAATGAAAATGGGACACACACCGAAAAAAGCATTGCCTCTCAGCAGTTTTCTTTAAAGACAAAATATAGGGGCATTACCATCATGGGACCTTGAGGGGAACTTCTCAGCAACGTAATCTTTATTACAACAACTGAACTCCCTGTGCTATAACCTGGGGGAATTTTGGTCCCAAGAAGGGCTACCCTTATGTAAAACTTTTGACATATTTACAATGCCAGCAGCTGTGTTACCACCAATAAAAAAATATTTTCACTATTAAAAAGGCATTTCTAAAAACTGAAATGTGCTCTAGTATGTGAGTTGAAAAACCACGGACATGGAATAAAAATTATTATTTTCAAAGCCAAAACATGAAGGTGTAATGAAAACAGAATTAAGTGGCAAGAGTACAGATGGTAGAGTTCTGAGATACTCTGAAACCAGACAGAAGAGTAACAGCCGTGTTAGTCTGTATTTGCAAAAAGAAAAGGAGTACTTGTGGCACCTTAGAGACTAACCAATTTATTTGAGCATTAGCTTTCGTGAGCTACATCCAATGCATCCGATGAAGTGAGCTGTAGCTCAAGAAAGCTTATGCTCAAATAAATTGGTTAGTCTCTAAGGTGCCACAAGTACTCCTTTTCTTCTGTCTGGGTAAATTCCACCCAGAGTTTTACATTTATACTTTTAATGACCTCCTGGAGAACACTGGAATTAAGACTTCTCAGGAAAATGGTGTATTTTCTTTGGTTAGTTGCTCTATTTCCCTAATGTTTTTCAAAAAGTTGTTGACTTTCTTGTTCAAACATCACAATTCTAGCTGGAAACAAAGTAATGTCAGCATAGCAAGGTGTAAGCTATAAAACCCCTCTGGACATTAAAAGCTGAGATTTATCCAGTGTCTAACATTTCACAGTTATCCCCTCCTCATTTTCCAATCATCCTCAGAAAATTAGATATTCTGGCACCCACTAGATAATAAGCACATCAAGGCTGGAAATGTCTTCCCATTAGTTTGTATTGCCTCTCGATATTTAAAATTAAGGCCAGACACGGAACAAGATTCCAGCCCTACAAATGACTGTATGTGAAAGGACTGCTGCACCCATGCAGAGCCCCACTAAAATCAAATGGTGTTTCATGCTAGCAGAGCAATTCATCTGTGTTCAAAGCTGCATTCTAGTACCAAAGGTGGCTGTATGAGGCTATGGATCTCTCACCATAAGTGCGAAGTCAACAAGACTACAGACAACTGTAGAATCCCACACTGTAGAAAGAGAAAAAAATCTTGGTAAGTTAGGGCTTCTCTATATGGCAAGATAGTACGCAGCAAGGTGGGGTATACATCTACAGCACACTAGCTTGCTGTGTGGACTTTCAAAGAGTGGTAGGTCAAAGCATACTACAGATCTTTTAGTACGCGGTAGCAGGGTCCACAGATGCACAACAAGCTAGAGTATTGTAGATTTACACCCAAGCTTGGTGCGCTTAAAATCACCGTATATACAAGCCCTTATTCTTTTCATCTGGCATGAGCTAACAGGGTACAAGATTATTCTTAAGTACAGGTAGATCACACAGTCCACTAGATCAAAGTTAAAAAAATATTACAATTCATTTCAGACAATGCTCTCTCCACTTTAAAGACAGAGAGGCAGGTCCTGTCCTGAGGAACTTACAATTTAAAAGACAAAAGACCAGACAGGAAGGCACTGAAAGAGACCAAGAGGATGACAGCATACAATATCAAACTAATTTGTTCACCCTGTAAGGCTAACACGCACAGTAACAATTACGATCACTATGACAAATGTTTGGGAGAAAACAGATCTCATTGCTTTCACTGAACCCCTCTGTCCTAAGGGAGGGCGGGGAAGTGTTTTGTCATCTAGACCGTTAAAACTATTTCACAAGCGAAGGCCATTCTAAGGTTAAAAACAGCGAGAAAATTGCTACTGATTAATAATAAAGCCATTCATTTTATTCTTCAAATCTAAAGTAATTACAAGCCAGAGTATGGCAAATGGATTTAGCTGAAGCCATTACGTCAGAAGACTCCTTTAAAGAAGAACAGTAATTTAAAACACTAAACTGAATAATGAACTCTCCTGAACAACAATTATTATGGGATTGATTTATTGAAAGTGCATTTAATCACGCAAGAAATGTTTAAACTTTCCAAAATAGTTCAGGGAGACTGCAACAGCAATAGCAGAGTCAGCCCAATGTGATCATTACAGCTGAGGACCTAAAGCGGACAGGGAATTTATTGAGTTTGGAACAATAAAGTACGTCAATCTCTCCGAATCCACATTTCTAGTCAATTTCTTACAGTACAGACTTCAGCAATTAATCTCATTTACCATTTGTGCCTCCTTTTAGGAGGTCTCAGTCATTGTTTTCATGTGGGGCCAAGTGTTACCAAGTAGAACGTAACTCAGAAAAGATGTTCTGGGAGCTCACGGCTCTAAATCTAGCAATGTTTCACCTGAAAAGGTTCAGCAACATTAAAAGAATAGTTGGAATAATCCACCCAGTTAAGTAGCATGGTTAGTTTGCATACTTCTGTGGATATGGTTAAATTGGCAGTTAGTGCATTGTCCTCCTCAGTAAACACCAGATTTTCCAGAGTGGAATGAATTTATCTGACCTATGTAGGCTTATTCTTTAGGGGGACTGCAGATGACTTGGGATCTCATTGCTGCCCTGACAGCAAAGGGTCTATCTCAGATGATTTCAGACAATTTCTATAGATGGGCACACTCTGGATCTTGCTTTTGGTTCAGAAGCAAAAATGACTGGAGTAGGTGACTATTACGCCTGTGCAAAATGCAACTCAGCTCCCAGCATGAAGACAGATTCCTGGTATCTCATATGAAGAGTACTATGCAGCCTGTGGGCCGCTACCAGTGACTACAGGATGATGACTCATTGTCTTCAGCCATCAAAACAGTGGCTCAAAAATATTCTAGCCTCAGCCTCAAGGATCACCTTAATATACAAATGGCCTGAAATGTGTAAGAAATCTGGGGCCAATGTTAAAAAGCAAGCAGCAGTCATCATTTGCCAAGGCAGATTCCATGAAGTCTTATGCCATGGCTTTTGGATAAGGGAGGGTTCCTCCTCCTGCATCAGAAGACAGCCAGCAAAACTATCCCAAAAATTTCAGTCCGAATCCCAAAGCCAACAGCTCAGTTTCTCTCTTCTCAAAACCATACCCATAAATTTAAAAGGCAATTCACACAAACAAAATCTGTATCTGGAACGTTAACAAAAGCTCCCACAGATTTCAGTGGGGTGTTTCGTGACTAATGCTTTGAAATTTTACTCTAAAAATTCTGATTTATACATAGTTAAAGCTGATAGTCAGACTTTTAACTCCCCTGGTTAATCCTAAACATTGCAACACCAGAGACAGACAATATGGTCACCTTTTGTTCTAAAGTATTTATTTGCAGTCTATCAGCAAGAGGGATTTAATTAAGACCAAACATTCAGCTTTATATGAATTTACAGGCTTTGATACGTTTAAACGCTTATTTTAATGTAGGTTGTGCCTGGTGTTAGTTTAGGAGTTCATAAAAATTTCAAAAATGTATTATTTACCCAGTAGTCCTTGACTGATTCTTCTACACTTAAGAAGTTCCTAAATACATATATTATTTAACTGGTGCTGTCATTACGGTCTAGCATATAAATATTCAGGGACTTTTTAATATGCTGAGCTTTTATCCAAATGACCAAAATGGTTACTTGGAAATATTTACTAGTGGGTAGCCAATAATATCACTGAGGGAAGGACCTTCAAAGACTGAGGCACTATGAATGATAGAGAATGCCGAGTTACTAATTTGTCATTGTTTCTGCTCTTCCCCCTTCTTTCCCCTCCCCCCCCAACATCCTCTTCCCAGCATCAAACACCTTATATCACTGTAGCATGTATCCATACATTAGAAAGCAAGGAAACAAAAAAAATATCAATCAGCAACTGAACATTATAAGCTATGGCCACTCAGTTCCCTTAAACTGAAAAATAGAAATGAGGAAAAAGTTATTAATTTCCAGTCATTCTGCAACAGTGGATTTGAACTTCAGTATTATTAGACCTAGACAAAGAGTAACAAAAACCTTGACATCAGTTTTTTCTCTGAGATACCCCTCTTTAAACAATTTCTCATAACCAGTGGGGGAAATTCACTCTGAAGTGCTGAAAAGGCATCCATTCATCAAATAAGCTCTGTAACATAGCTCAAAAAAGTGATTTATGTTAGGGTGAGGTCCAATATTAGAGATTTCTTTTGAATTCCATACAGTTAAAGTTACAGCCAAAGGCCAAGATTTTCAAAAATTGGTGCCTGAGGTTAGGTTTCTAAATCCTTATTTGATACATAAATAATCAGCCTGACTTTCAGAAGTGCTGAGTACCCAGCAGCTCCCAGTGAACTCCTGCAAAAAGCAGAGTCTCTTCTGTTTCAAGTCTTTTCCTTCTTGCCTTTCATCTCTTTCCTGAAAGGCCAGACAGAGGTGGGGAAAAGAGACATGAAATAGAACTTAGGTATGAACTTTAGGAAGGAGAGATAGAGGGCACAACTGTCAGATAGATGCATGTGCGCTTACCACAGCTGTGCACTCAAATCAGGTAATTTCATAAACAGTCATGTGCACCTCTGACCATTTCCTGTAGTAGTAATGGAGCATGCAAATTAGGAATGCAATTGCATGCATAAATGTGTGATAACTAGGCCCCAAAACACAAAAAATTATGTGGGTTGGCAGAGGCGTCTATGTAAGGGCTCCATCTTCATTATCCTCTGTTTCTTGGTTGGCAGCAACACACAATTCTATATATGGGATCATCCGAAACAGGGCTGGGGAAATGGAGGATAAAAGTCAATTTATTTGCCTTTTATCTTAAAAATGAAGGTGGATTCTGTGAGATTTAGAGAAGCACAATGCAGGGTAGGATCAGAAAACCCTCAACACTGATTCTCGCTCTTCACACCAACTAAGTGAATGGCATTGAGCAAGTCACTTAACTTTATGATGTTCCTTTGGAAAATTGGGGCTAATCCTACATTCCAGAGGTGTTGGGCAGATAATTTAGTGCTTTTCATACAAGAGCTATAGAAATGCATAGTTTTGTGATTATATTAGAAATCAAAAGGTTTTCCAGATGATTCCACATAAGAAGCAAATCTATTCATCCTTTCAGCAAGTTAGTACTCTATAATCTCACCTTTCCTAAAAGAATGTTTCCTTAACAATGTAATATTGATAGTAAAGTACTTGTTAAACTTTTGTGAAACCAATCAGTAAGAAAAAATAGCCTTAGTCAACTAGTGTTAAAAACCATACCCGCACAGCACTAGAGATAAATCATAGATTAGCTGAATTAATATGGACAAGGATTTGTTATGTAAACTTGACTGCTGCTTCAAATCAACAGATCATGTTCTATCATAATTTGAGAGATGTAAAAAAATCCAGGTACACTCCCAATGTAAAAATTTTAACAGAGGTCTATAGGGTTGATGGGCAAAAAATATTTTGAATAAAGGAAAAGGGGAAAGGAGTTGTTCAGTCTGGAAACTCAGCATCCACCATGAAACCATTTTTTCCTCAAAACACTGATCATTTGAGCAGGGAATAAGAGTTCTTGTCAAACAATTTTCTTCCTACAGTCTAGAACCAGAAGAAGTTTCATTTTTCAAAGCCTCTTCCTCTCCCCTTCCCTCATTTGAGGAATGTTGATTCCAGTCCTCACCCCCACAAAAATCTTGAGGTTGGTTTGCCTCATGTTTATGCCTAAACATCATCAAAAGAAAAAGCAAATTTTATCTGCTGCAGCTGAGCCAGCAAGAGAGGCCACAGAGCAAACATTGGTTTAATAAGAATTGCAATAATACTGCCACTTATTTCTTAATGGCAATTATTATTGCACATTTTTCAAAGGTGCCCATCACTGGGCATCTTTAGGAGAAATAGTTGTCTTTAAAAAGATATTTACAATACAGAGGCTATTTCCCCAGTGTCTGGAAGTAGGTCATATTTGGGCCTTAAATTACTAATAGCAAGTATCTGCTTCATACGACTTGAACATTTACCAGACTTCTATCTAAAAGATTACAACGAAGTCTCAAAGATCAGGGGAGGGGCCATGTTCCCCAACTGGGACAGCAGCAGTGTCTTAGTGGGGAAAATCAGGCCACCGCCTCCCCAGCTTTTGAAAGGAAGAGAAAGAAATAGTTTGGCAAAGCTATAAGCAACTGAAAAGAGGGTTTTATAAAGGGTAGTGCCAGACCACCTTAAAAATAGGTGGTGCTACCAGTCCTGACTACAGTATGGACCCTCTTATGATTGAGAACTTTATGTCTCACTCTGCCAATGATTCACACAGAGCACTGGGCAGTGCTGTCATCTGTTCAATTTTATTCACCAATGGAAAGTACTCAACTGAAGTGTGTTTTCAAGCCTTGGCCACTAAGTATGTAGAAAAAGCTTTTAGTCTTATGTTTTCATAGGTTTTGATTTGTATGGTTCTCTAACCAAACAGCAGTGATCAGTCATGAGACTGGTTCGAACCAGATTCTAATAAAGACATAAGTTCATTTCTCCCTATCCTGAGAAACTGCTCAAAGCTCAATACAAAATTCTGTGTAACTCCATAATTCAGTGTGAATTCCCCTTCAGCTTCTTGCATGCAACCCTGAGTCAAAATAGAATCTGGCTCATTTACACACCAGTGCTCGGACAGCCTGGTCCTTCAGAACTCCTTCTGAAGTTCTACACCTTAGAATTGGGCCATTAAGTACACAGTAAAGTGCATCCTCATTGAGCTAGTTATTGCTTTTAAGGAAATAAAGACACTTCTCTATAAAGAGAAAGATAAGACAATGTGTAAGTTCCACAGTAGTTTCTTTCTGATATTCAAATAAACCCCAGGGAAGGCTGAAACTATAGCTGGTTTGATATTTGCCTCTCACAGACTAGAGAGATTAGTTTGCTATTGTAGGACACTTCTAAGTGCTCAGCTGAATACAATGGTTTGTTAATACAGAGCTAATTACATTAAGTTTTCTAAAAAAAGAACAAGGTAGGTCAAATTTTGAGTCTACCAGCCTTCAGAGGTTCTCTTTAAATTATTATATTCCTGGTACCATCTAGGCAAATAAATTCCCTGTGCATTTGAACAGAACTTGAAGTGGTATCGCTTTATTTGTCAAATAGCAAGAATTTGTATTCAACTTCAGTAAGTCTTTTATACAGCTCCTAGGCACTGGAACAGACTTCAAGAGTTATGAAATTAACTGATCGGAGTTATGTGAAAGATTTTGAATCATTCATGTATGATGGATAACTGTTCCCATAGTTAAAATTATATTGGTTTAAATTATCCTTGTTTTATGTTCATAGGTTTTGTAGTTTTATACAGTATGAAACTGCATGTATTAACATTCTGCCATCTTTGCCAGACTTCTCCAAAAAGATGTTTATGCTTGAACAACCCATCTCTGATAAAGGTAAAAAAAACAAAGCAAAAAACTATAAAAGGGGTATATTTCCTTCCCAGTGACTAACAGTCATTAGCATTAATGGAAGTTAAATGTACATATTCACCAATCTAGATAATATTCCCACAGAGCGTGCATCTCACTTAAATTCATAAGCACATTAAGACCCAAGAACTAGAACACTCTACCACAAAATCCTGATCCTACTGAAATCAATGCAAAAGTACAAACTGTGGTCCCACTGAAGCCAAGTCTGAAGTTAGAATAGTCTTTGCAAATTTGTTGTATTTTGTGGCAGAAACACGTGCCTTGATATTTCTCAGCACCTACATCATAGTCAGCAAATCTTGTCAGCCTGTATATCATTCAGCAGTAGAGTGAACAGTTTCTTTTATGAAAATTAATGCCACTGTATTAAACAAACCCTCTCTTGTGTTCCCTGTTGGGATTGTTCGTTAGCCTTCTGAAGGTTTAAAGTAGAAAGACAGCAGTCTAAGAACCAGGATTTGGGCGACTGAATACAAGACAGACCAAGGCTCCAACATATTTCAGAGGTCCCTGGTATGCTCAACCTAGTTATAAACCAAGGCCCTGATCCTGCAATCTGATCCATGCAAGTGGACCCCAGTGCATGGATCTGTGCAGATCACAGTCCAGCATTGGGACCCAAACGTGTTTTTCAATTTTTAATATGGGTCTAAACTGCATAATTTGGATCCATTACTCTTTTTTTTAAAATGTTTGGTTCCATTAATACTGCTTTGTGAACCTCTCCCAGTATGAGCTGGCCAAACCCCGGATCTCAAGGTTTATTTTATTTTAATGCCTTCAGCGTAAATCCTGTCTCTGGACACTGAAAGTAGTGGAAAGCCATGTGAAAGGAGCTTTAGACCGCAATTACAACCGTCTAACAGGATTAAGTGAAAAAAATCTGTAACCATATTTTAATGCATAAACTCCTTATTGCCATTTGTAGTTGACAAATATCTATTTCACAGCAAAATAACATCACTGGAACAGCTGGGCGGCAGTTTCAAGCTCAAATGAAGTAGCAGCACATGCTGACAAGTCATCTCTGATTGCTTTTGAATGGCAGCACATGCAGATTTATTCCCTGCTATAAATTAGAACAATTATCTCTCTGCAGTTCACTTGTTATTTCAGACAGTGAATCCCACCACACGTTGTTTTGGGTTTTTTTAAAAAAGGATATCTTCCCTTTCCTTGATGATAAGTTCATTCTGCTCCTCTAGCTGTCTGATCTTCTTCTCAAATGACTCCTGTTCTGCTCTCAGTCGCTCCTCTGTCTCTTCCTTTTCCTCACTTATCCTGAAACGATTAAAGAGAGACCAATTGCCCTGTCA